GGCATTCAGCCATCGAAGAGGCTACCCCCTCAAAGCTCCTTGGCCAGGGTCCCTTCGCCGGGCCCCTGGGGGGGTTAACGAGCCTGCTCACTCACTCCCTCCGCCAGAGCACGGAGACACCCCCAGGAGGTCCGGGCGGAGAGTCCGTGAGCGTGCCGCCATCAACCGGAAGTCGATCTTATTATTTCTAGTCTGTTTCTTAAATATTTGTGTGGAGAAACTCATAATTAATTTTACCAAGTATTGTCTTTTAAAAGTAAATTTTAAATTAATGCATTTAAGGTTTTTATTTGTTCTTGTATTGATTTCAGATTCCCCCAAAGAAGCATATGTGCAATGTATAGGTGTCTCAGACTGAATTAAAATTAGTTTTCCTACTTCACCACTGTCTCTTGTTTTTTGGTCTGTGTGGCCTCCTTTTCTTGCTACTTCACTGGGTGACCTTGGGCCAGTCACACACTCTCAGCATAACCTACCTCAGAGGGTTGCTGGGATGAAATGGAGGAGAGAGAACAGTGTAAGTCACTTTGGGTCCCCACTAGGGTGAGAGGTGGGGTTTCACTGAAGTAAATAAATAAATATGGCACCACTATGTAACACTATGTCAAAAGTGCTAAGGAAGTTTTTGTATAACAAAGATAGTTTCAGAGCATAACCATGTCGCAAAAATGGCCAACAGAGGCAAACAATATGACCACTTTTATGGCTGATTCACAAGGCTGCATCACATTTCGATATGGTAGAATAAAATTAAATTAATCTTCAATACAGTATGGGTTAATCCATCAGTATATCAAATGCATCCTTGGAACTGATTCTTTTACTTTTTCTTTCAGCATCTTGAATGACGGTGAAGATATATATAGTGCTGAAGACTGTGAATTTGCAAGCAAGAAAAGGAAAAAGGACCATTTTAGGAATAATGCAAAATCTCAGTGTAAGACGGAATTGTTTTTTTTAAATTTTGGAAACATTTTGGATTGGACAGTTTAAAAATAATGGGTAAATCTCCACTAACAGAAGGCATTTTAATTGGAGATTTTGTTGCCTCTCCTCAAATGCTGCCCCTGGGGGACTGGGGACCCCCTGGAACAGCATGAGAGGCAAATTGGAGATCTGCAGTGAGGTGAAAGTCACTCCTCTTCCATTACAGGAAATTTACCACAGGATCCCTTATATTTCAGTGAAACTAATAGAAAATGTAAGCAGGTTTGTTTTTATTTGATTTATTCTGCCCATTCTCCATTCTCCTAAAATGCTTTAGTATATAAGAAGCACAAGAGTAGGTTGGACATCATTTATGAAGAAGAAGAAGAAAAGATTGGATTTATACCCCGCCCTTCACTACCCAAAGGAGTATCAGAGCGGCTTACAAACTTCTTTCCCTTCCCCTCCCCACAACAGACACCCTGTGAGGTAGGTGGGGCTGAGAGAGCTCTGACAGAAACTGCTCTTTTTTCAAGAACAGCTCTTATCAGAACTATGGCTTGCCCAAGGTCATCCAGCCAGGTGCAAGTGGAGGAGTGGGGAATCAAATCCGGTTCTCCCAGATTAGAGTCTGCGCACTTAACCACTACATCAAACTGGCTCTGTAAGTGAGACTGTAAATGCATGACTTGCGTGCTCAAGATTTACATAGAAGCAGTTCAGGCAGAAATGGTAAGAGCAAGTCTTTTTTTTTAAAAAAGAAGGAACTGTCTCTTGCTCCAGAATGGATTGATTTTTGAAAATCTTTTGTTATCCCTGTATTCATGTGTGTGGCTATTTTTATATCAATATCTCATTCTATTAAAGTCAATACTTGATTCCATTTGCTGGAGAAATAGTTCATAAGGAATAAGTAAAAGTTCTGTGCAGATGCCCCTGGGCATCTTTTGTCTAGCTGTTTTTGGTCAGTATGTAGATCAGTACGCCAGCAGCCATGCTAGTTCTGCATAAACAGAGAGACAGAATCGTTGAGAGGATGATCTTTTATTGGGCTAGCCTATAATTTACAGATGATATACAAGCATTTTAGTTGTACAGAATTTTTCTGTTTAGATACAGTGCATATTCGGAAAAGTATGAACAACCTTTGCTTAATTCGATTTTGTTGTGGTTTGAGGTGATGGTTCTTAAGTTAGGTTTTGAGCTGATTTATTGAACTCTGCAAAAGTTCTTAGACTGGGAGTGAAAATATTGGGAAGAAACCATTAAAGAGCCAGCTCCATTCAAACACAACAATTCCCTGACAGACAGGACTTCAAAACAAGGATTCTGCATCATGATTTTTCAACCACTAGGTAATAGGACAGAATTTAGTCTGGTGTATGTTACCGTGTGTGCTGCACTTGACATTTACCTCTATGTCAGTGTTATGCTTTTGCATTTTCTTTGCCTGCCTAGCTACCTTTTGTGAAATTGGTTTCTTGATCCAAGGTCTGGATAGGCTTGCAAAGAGGATTAATGCGTGTTACACTGTTTTTTCCTGGGAGTTTCTCAGTTCTGTAACTTTAGAACCATCTAGCCAGAATTGTATCCTCCTGATCACATTATAGTTTAAATAATTAGATGTACCTGTCTTTTGTCTGGTGATCATACTGCTAACTCTCTAGCCATGTGGAAATGGAGGTGAGGGTGGGGCATATATCCCAGGCTCCTTATTGATTCATCTCTTGAGAATACCTTATTTTGGTGAGGGGAGAACCTGATTGAAGGATGACTGCAAAGCATTGCCTTTATGGAATCTGTAGAAATAATTCCTACTGTAGGGTTGCTAGCAGGCAGGTTGTGCTGGCGGGGGCAGCATCCCAGGAGAAAAATTGAAAATAAGGCTTCCTCTACTTACGGGAAGTTCTGACCATAGAGTTCCTGGTGATCTCTAGAGCTACCCATAAGTGACAAAGAGTAGTTTTAGGAATCAACAGGAACAGAATTTCTTTTAAGTAGAAGAAGCCTTAGTTTTCTCTTTTAATTTTCTCCTCAAGATGACCCCCACCCCCACTTTGACCCTAGTTTCTACCCACTGACCAGATGAGCATTGGCAGGTAGGGTTGCCAAGTCATTGCAGTCGCCGCAGCGGGGGACTCCCGGGCGGTGACTGGAGCGTGCGCGCCACATGCACGTTACCCGGAAGTGATGTTAGGACGTCGGGCACGCTGGGGGCGGGGCCACGACCCTCGGAGGGAAAAACATAGAGTTTTCCCTCCGATGGTCG